TTTTTTTTTTTTAATGTTTATTTATTTATTATTCTTGAGAGAGAGAGAGAGCACAAGTGGGGAAGGGGCAGAGAGAGAGAGGGAGACAGAATCCGAAGCAGGCTCCAGGCTCTGAGCGGTCAACACAGAGCCCGACGCGGGGCTCGCGCTCATGAACCGTGAGATCACCACCTGAGCCGAAGTCTGACATACAACTGACTGAGCCACCCCGGCGCCCCCTGACTTGATTCTTCTTAAAGGCAAATCAGGAAGCAAGTGTGGCTTAACCAGCCTGTCTTCGTAGGCCTTCTCGTATAAGCAAAATCGGAGATCAGAGAAGAAAATCCTCTGTCCTCTGATTGGGTTCGGAAAATCCGGTCCCCACTAGAAACTGGGATGTTCCAAGAGTTCTAGAACCCTGGATGAGCCGGGGCCCATGGGGAGAAACATGATTCACTCATACACCTCAATTGATGCCGTGGTTTTTAGTCTGAACATTTTTACAAAGCGAAAAGTGCCGAAATGGATGGCAACGTGTACCAGTGAATCAGCCAGATATGTAAGTTTCAGATAAGGGCTAGAAGCATCTGATGTGCAAGGCTCTGAGAAAATGGATCCGGTGGTGGTGTGTGTGCGAAGAGGGGGCAGGGCGAGTCCCAGTGTGCCCAGACCGAATTGGGTCAACAGCAGCGCCCTGAGGGTGCAGTCGGGGCCGGGCCACGATGCAAAATGCCTCCATGGCCAAGGTCCAGTTCCCCTTTAGAGATAGAGTGGGAGCACAGACTCAAACGGGGGAGAAGGACATTTTATGTGACAGCTGACACCCCCCCGCCCCCCCGCCGACCGTGGGCTGCTGTCACTGTGACACCCAGAGACTGGAAAGACCCAGGGGTGCGACCTCCCCCTCCCCACTCAGTCACCCCTCCCTGCCTCCTGTCACCCTGACTTCCCCTCTGACAGCTGCTCAGCCAGGCCCACGCTGGGTACCTTCCTGCTTGTCGATGACACCCAAGGCGCTGGCATCCCGGATGAACAGATGCCCGTTGTTAAAGATGCCAAACGTGCCCGCATCGACGTGGGTGAAGTAGAAAAAGTAGTTCAGATCGTTGCTCCTCAGGGACTCCAGGACCTCAAGGAGCTGGTAGGCCAGGTCGGCCGCCTGGTCCGGGGCCGCGCCGTAGAATTCCCGCAGAGGGCTGGTGCTGGTGCTGACCAGGAATCTGCCGCAAGAGCCCAGGTACTTGGGCAGCGGCCAGCCCTCGGCGCCGGGGAAGATCTGGAAGCGGGAAGGAGGACGCATTAGAGGATGAGAGAGAAAAACTTGCCGGGACACCTGTTCCCCTGCCTCTCACCAGCAGCACCCAGAGGGATCAGCCTTACCGGGCACCCTCCGTCTCCAAACGCATCCGCCACGGGGCCTTCAACCCCCTTTTTTTTTTAAGAGTTGAAGGAGTCAAGAAAATATGACCAGTATTTGGGATTTCACAGACACCAGTGCCTAGGAAGAGGCCATGGGCTTTAAAAAAAAAAAAAAAGAGGCTGATTTAAAGAGAAAAATATTTTTTAAATGTTTATTTATTGAAAGAGAGAGAGAGAGAGTGGAGAGGGGCAGAGAGAAAAAGAGAGAGAGAGAATCCCAAGCAGGCTCCTCGCTGCCAATGCAGAGCTGACTCGGGGCTTGAACTCATGAACCGTGAGATCATGACCTGAGCCAAAAGCAAGAGTGGGATGCTTACCCAACGGAGCCACCCAGGGGTCCCAGAGAAAAATATTTTTTAAAATGACAGCACAGGCACCAGGTTCTGGGATAGAGCAAAAATCACGAAAGTGGCCCCTGGTGGCACAAGTTTTGGGAACCATGGCACTGACTCTGGGTGAATCTGCCTGGTTTGGGTAACTACCTAATCACAAATGCCCCCCCCCGCTCCCAAAACTGGAACCTTCCAACAGCCTGACACTGATCTAGGGAAGCATACAGCCCCCAGCGGATGTCCTTTGTGTCCTCACAAGAGCACCACTTGTGTGGATTTGGGAGATGACAGAGGGAGGCGGGAATCCTGGCTGGTCTTTTCTTGACTATTTATTGAAGCAGCTGTATCTAGAATAGTTCCTTCCTTCCTTCCTTCCTTCCTTCCTTCCTTCCTTCCTTCCTTCCTTCTTATTTATTTTGAGAGAGAGAGTATGAGCCAGGAAGAGTGCGAGAGAGAGAGAGAGAGTTCCAAGCAGGCTCCGCACTGTCAGCACGGAGCCCGACGTGAAGCTCAGTCCCACGAACCGTGAGATCGTGACCTGAGCCGAAATCAAGAGGCGGACGCTTAAACGAGCCACCCAGGTGCCCCTAGAATGGTATTTCTTTAAACCAGGGGGAAACGGCAGAAAGGATAAATACCATTTTTTGTTTCTTATTTTCCTTCTTTAAGAAAAAGAACTGATTCCCCTCTCTGATGATTTTCTGTGGCCTTCTGCCCCTTTTAGCCCATCCGCATGTTGTGAGGCTCTCCTACTATTGCCGTAGAGGGAGGTCTTGCCCTCCCCTCCCCCAGCCCTGCGTGGATGGAGGGTCCCAGCCCAGGCCTCTTGGGAGTTGGCTGCCACCACTGAGGTTGGGACAACGGGAAAGAAGACCCTCGGGGGTCACTAGGCAGGTTTTAGCAGAAAGAGTCTGGACCCGGCACTGGATTTGGGTCCCAGACGGCTCTGGGTTTGGGTCCCATTGCTGACCTTAGCTAAGTGACTTGTGGTCAGGTCACCTCATATCTCGGAGCCCCACCCACCTCATCTGGAAAGGGGGACAATGATAATATTTCCGTGCAGTTGTCGAGTGGTCGTGATGTAAAGCATTCAACACAATATCCAGTACCTGGCAGGTGCTCAGGAAGTGAGAGCAGCTCATTATATTTCAAAATAGTAATCATGTATGTATTAATAAATATACATTCACGACACAGTAACTTATACATTAATATATTAATGGTGATATAGCAAATCATATTATGATTATTAATATATTATTATATATGTTATCATAGAATTATGACTCATTTTATATATTTTATATTCTATTCTATCTTACAAATTATATTACACATGATGATTAATTTTATATTATAGTCTATTATTATATTTTATAAATTATATTACGCATAATGATTAATTTTATATTCTATTATTATATTTTACAAATTATATTACACATGATGATTAATTTTATATTGTATTCTATTATTATATCTTACAAATTATATTATGCATGATGATTAATATATATGATATATAATAAATAATTATATATCAAATAATTATAGATGAGAAATATATTAATATATCAATTAGTTACTAATATATGATAGAATATGCAATCTAATTAATATAACAATAATTATTAATTATGCACAATTAACAACAGCATATGATTATATTTAAAGTTACATTAACATGATGAAATTAATAATTATAGAATTAATTGTGATCATAAATATCAAGTGTCTTTGCTGGGGCGTCTTCTTCCTCCACTTGTACCTTCTCCCTTTCCTTCTCTTTTCGTTCTTTTGTTTTTTTCATTGCTTTTTCATGTTCATTTATGTATTTTGAAAGAGAGAGAGCATGAGCGGGAAAGGGGCAGAGGGAAGGGGAGACAGAGAATCGCAAGCAGGCTCCACACTGTCAGTGCAGAGCCCGACAGCAGGGCTCGAACTCACAACCCACGAGATCATGACCTGAGCTGAAATCAAGAGTCAAGAGTCGGATGCTTAACCGACTGAGCCACCCAGGCGCCCTTCCATGTCTTTTCTGTCCCCCTCCCTCCTCTTTCTCCCTCCTTCCCCTCACTTCCCAGTTTCCTTTGTGCCCATGGTGTGAGCATCCTGATTCTTGGCATTTGGGGGAAATGGGTGCGACTGGGCTCCCCATGTTCTGTGGATGCTTGTTGACTTGCTCGGTGGCTGCCTCCAGCACTGGATTGGAAGCTACAAGAAAACGGGGAGCCACCATGACTGCCTTACTGATCAGTGTATCCCCAAGTTCAAGTGCACCCTCATTTATTTGCCCATTCCCCTATTGGTAGACATCTAGGGTACTTCCACGGTTGTGTCCTTTCTAAGCATCGCTGCGGGGCTCATCTCCAGGAGGTGTGGCCCCAAGGCTTGCTGTAAAGGGGAAGAGAGCTAAGCCCGGGGCTGGCCCCCTTGGAGCCCGACCCGAACCCCCTCCCCAGGGTGGGGGGGGGGTCCCCACGTACCTGCAGGAGGATGGGATGCGCGTTGACAGCCAGCGTGTAGAGCAGACGTAGCTTGTCGCGGTCCGTGAAGTGGTCCATGAAGATGCTGCCAGCATCGGCCACCTCGGCGTAGCGTCGGACCACACGGTCCAGGAGTCGCTGTGACGGGCAGCGCAGGAAGGGACTGGGCAGGCCCTGTGGGAGGTGGGTGGGAGAGACCCCAGGAGGGGGAAAGGCTGCTGAGGTCTTGTGGGGAGCCGTCAGGATGGGACACAGGCAGGCCCTGATGGTGGGAGGAGACACTAGATTTGGAGGATGGAGAGAGGGGCTGCACGGGCTTGGGCTGGGGGGGGGCGGCTGGGGGGGAGACCCCGAGGGCCAGGGAGAAAGGATGAGCTGTCCTAGGGGCAGGGTAAGCGGGCGCTGGGCAGGTGGCACAGCCCAGCAGGCAGTGAACGTGTTAGAGATCCTGCATTTGGCCACCGTCACACCCCCACTGTGCCCCTCCACGGAGAGCCAATCTCACACCGAATTAACCAGAGCGGCCCTCACTGACCTTTCCGATTCCTTCCACCGCCTCGTGACACCTACCACGATTGTGGCGTTACACGTGAGCATCTTCTCGGGATCAAATTGGGAGGTCCGGACCTATGCTTACCTTCCGTGACCTTCCATCCCGCCGCCATTTTCTCTTCACGCTGAACCAAGAGAATGAACCCAACCGACTGATAAAAGCGAGTTAAAAATAGGGGCCTGGGGCCCAGCTGGCCACAATTCAGCCCCAGCTCCACACCTACCGGCTAGCTGTGTGACCTTGGACGAGTTACTTCGTCTCTCTGTACTTTGGGTTAAGGTCTAAAGCGAGGGTGCCAGTAATAAGAGATTGTGAGGATGAAATAAACCAATAGCTGTAAAATACTAGAAGAGCGTCTGGCCAGCAGTAAGCGCTCAGTAAACGCTATCGGCTCTTATTACATGAAAGAAGTTTAAACTCTCAGCACAGAGGATAGGGGTGATAGCCAATGATAGTAGCGGGAACAGGAGTCAGGCTTTGTGGCTGAGAACAGGATTTTCGAGCTCTAAGAGCCTGGCTTTGAAGATTGCAAACCAAAGCCTGAAAGGTCCAGGGCCAAAAGTGTCCCACAGGTGTCTGTCGACCGTGTTTCCGGGCTGCCCGCCTAGCGGAGGCTCTGGCTGAGTGAGCCGTTGGGGTAGGTGGCGAGTTGGGGGGGGGTGTTCTCCAGAGCCCCCGGACATCCTAGCACGGGGCCGGGGCGGCAGCCTGGAGCCCGCCATCTCCACAACCAGAACCCAGGAGGATGGAAGGATCACTGGGAGCCTTGAGATGCCTTGAGCGTCTTGGAGGTTGAAGAGGGCACAGATAGACTCAACCATCCCCGTTTGCTTGGGACTGAGAGTTTCCTGGGACATGGAGCTTTCAGAGCTGAAACTGGGAACCCGAGACAGTTGGTCACATTCCCACATGGCTAGACCACGGCCAAGGGCACGGCATGCCTCTGCCCCCTGACGATGACCAGAACTGACTGGTAGAAGCCAGTGTGGATGGTTGTTGAACTACCATGGACAGTACCATGGTACCATGTTGAACTACCCAGTGAGCCCTTGGACTCCCCAGGGAAGGAGGGGGCTGGTCCAAATTCTGAAGTGACTGGGCATGATGGAATGTGACTGGGGTCGTCTGACGGTGTTCAGATGCCCCGGCTTACTCCCCAGAGGGGTGACAGCGCGGGAGTTGAGCTCAGAGAGAGAAGGTTAAAGACCATTCCATTTTTGCACCCCTGGGTCTGTGAGGGTCCAGTTCATGTGTGTTCCTTCCTTCAGGAATGTTGATAGATGGGAGGAGTGGGGACTAACCCACCACCTGCCAGGCAGTGGGCTGGGTATTCCCCGTGTAGTAGTTCATTTCATGCTCCCAGGCACCCACGAGGTAGGTGTCATTATGCATCTTGTTTTGCAACCGAGGAATTGGAAGTCTTCAGAGTGTGGGCAGGGTTGGATTCAGGATTTGAACCGGGTAGGGACTGCATGTTTGTCCCCCTGCCCCCCCCCATTCATATGTTGAAACCTTCATCCCCAGCGGGATGGTATCAGACGGTGGGGCCTTTGGGAAGTAACTAGGCCACGAGGGTGGAGCCTTCATAAAGGGATTAGATAAGAAGAGACAGACACGTTGGGGCACCTGGGAGGCTCAGTCTTGATTTTCGACTCTTGATTTCGGCTCTCATGATCTCATGGTCATGAGATCGAGCCCCGATTTGGGCTCTGCATTGGGCGTGGAGCCCGCTTAAAATTCTCTCTCTCTCTCTCTCTGCCTCTCTCGCTCTCTCTCAAAAAAAGAAGAGACACGGGAGCATCACACGAAAAGAGAGCTTTCCCTAGGAGCCGATGGACCGGCACCTTGACCTGGAACTTCCCAGCCTCCAGAAGTGTGAGAAATAACCTTCTGTTGTTTAACCCCCCCTAGTCTATGCTACTCTGTTACAGTAGCCCGAGCTAAGACAAGACCTGATCCATTAGATCTGCGCCATTTCCCCTGAATAGGTCCTGCCCCACTTCTGTCCCCATAAGCTACCCAGGTGGAGTCCACAGAAGATGATTTGAAGCTACAAGAACATCTCTTTGCTTCTGATCTCTGTCCCAGGCAGCCTGAAATTCCACCTTTACAGATAATCATTGGGGACAGGGGGAGATAAGTAATCTCTTCTCTTCTGTGAGTCCAACACCTGGGAAAATACCTCTGGAAGAGGTAGGACACGATTTGGCCATAACAACCACAATAATAATAGGTGATAATTATTGAGCGCTTCTTGTACAACAGGAGCCATTCTAAGCCCCTCACAGGTAGTGACTTCTTTTATTTACGCCTTCCAAGAGCCGAGGGAGGCATGTAGTATGAATATTGAGAAACGCGAACATTTTCTTGAACCCAAAAGCTCAGTTTTTCTGTGCGATTCTAAAAGAAACGAAAACACATCTATCGGCTCATCAAATCTTGGAGGACGGGGACATCTCGGCTGAGGCCGGAAGCAGGGGTAGACTGACCCCACAGAGAGGGTGGGAGAGGATTCTTTGCAGACAGAACACCTTGAATAAACCTTGAGATGAGAGAGAATACACTAGTGACAGTGGGAAGAGAGGAGGCCAGATGGCAGGAACCTTGGGGTCATTTTAAGGAATGTTAATTTTATCCCGAAGGGCTGGGAACCACTGAAGGCCTTGAGCAGGGAAGTGATATACTCACATACGCACTTGAGGAAAATGATTCTGGGTGCAGTGTGGATAGATTCAGAGAACTGTGTCTTCTAGTTATGGGCTCTTGGATGCTAGTGAGGCATATGGCTGCCTAAAGATTGCATTCTCTCAGCTTCTTTTGCAGCTAGGTGTGGTGATGTGACTGGGTACTGGTCAATGAAATATACGGAGAAACTTCTGGGAAGGACCCTTAAAGGGACAGGGTGTATCCTTCTTCATTCTTTCCCCACCCCCCACCCCCGCTGGAATGCGGAAGTGATGGCTGGTGATTAGGCAGCCATTTTGGACCAGGGCATGCTGAGTGTTGTAGAGCAGCAAAATGAAAATAGCCTGGGTCCTCGAGAATCACAGAGTCACTGTATCATCCCTGGACATTCAGGTATCAGTTTCTTTTCTTTTTTTAAAAAAAATTTTTAATGTGTATTTATTTTTGAGAAAGAGACAGGGAGAGAGAGAGAAACAGAGCATGAGCGGGGGAGGGGCAGAAAGAGAGGGAGACACAGAATCCGAAACAGGCTCCAGGCTCCAAGCTGTCGGCACAGAGCCCGACTCGGGGCTCGAACTCACCGACCGCGAGATCATGACCTGGGCCGAAGTCGGTCGCTTAACTGACTGAGCCTCCCAGGCGCCCCTGGATCTGTTTCTTTTACGTAAAAGGGAAATATATTTTGATCTTGTGTAAGCCACTGTGATTTGAACTTCTTGTCATATGCGACTGAACTTAATCCCAAGTGTCACAAGAAGGAAGAGTGGACGCAGGGAAATCAGGAAGATGCAGTGGTCCAGGTGTGAGAGGGGAGGATGAAGAGCTTTGATTTGAAGATATTCGTCGGTAGTAGAATCCGTAAGTCTGGGCGATTGGCTGGATGGGGGAGGAGGGGCAACAAAAAGGGACATGTTGGAGATAACACCCAACATGAGGGTGGATGCCATTTGCTGAGTTTTTTTTTTTTTTTAATTTTAGAAAGAGAGAGAGTTGGGGGGCAGCAAATGAAGGAGAGGGGCAGAAGGAGAGAGAGAGAGACAGAGGGGGGTGGGAATCTTAAGCAGGCTCCCTGCTTAGCACAGAGCCTGACACGGGGCTTGATCCCACAACCCCGGGACCCTGGACACGTGCTGAAATTGAGTCAGGCGCCTAATGGCCTGAGCCACACAGGCACGCCAGCTGTGGTCATTTTAAAACATGTTCGCAAACTCTTCGACTCTCCTCCCCTCAAGGGGTGGAGTCTAATTCCCCTCCCCTGGAACATGGACTGGCCTGGGTGACTCACTTTTAGTGACTGGCATGCTTAGGGGAGTGATGACACATGACTGCCGAGCCTTGGCCATGAAAGGTGATTCAGCTTCTCCTTGGCTGTCTCTCGCACCCAGCTACCATGCCGTAAGAAAATCCTGGCTGCAGGGAGAGGAAGCAGCCCTCAGTGGAGTGCCTCGCTGACACCAGCCCCAATGTGCCACCGCGTGACTGAGCCATCTTGGAAATGGCTCCTGGTGGCTGTATTGAGCCACCCCAGCGGATGCCACGTGGAGCTGGGTGAGCTCGCTCCTCTAAGCCCTGCCCAAGTTGCCTATTTTTGGACAAAATCGATGGTTGTCGTTGTTTGAGGCCACTAGGGTTTGTTACACAGCAATACGTAACTGATACATTTGCCGAGAAGGTTCTGAGCCCCGCCCCCCCCGCCTCTAGAACGATGGCCAGAAAAGGCTCTGAAGCCATCTCGTACCCCAACTCCCTTTATGGTGGAGGCAGCTGCTTCTCGGGGTCCCACCCGCAGAGTGGAGCTCCAACTAGTTCCGTCTGGGGTGTATTCTGGCCAAGTGCAAGCCCGCGATTATCTTGGCTCACAGCGAACAGAATTGGGAAACGAAGCATTTTCACTAAAACCATGATTCATCCCCAGGCCAAAGGCACCCTCTTCGGG